TACCCAAACAAGTTTGGGTCCTCTCAATGCAAGTTAGGAGCAACATACTTAGGCATAGCCTTAATATGAATAGCAGAATGTTTTGCAATTGCAACCAATGAGGTACCATTGCCATCCTTTCTAAGCATATCATTATTATTAATTGAAATAGGTTTAGAATTATTACCTAGGGGACATGAATTAGCCATGTGTCCTCTTTCCCGGCATGAGTAGCAATTTTTCTTGGTTAGAGCCTTTTCTTCCTTGCTCATGTATTGCTTCTCATTGCCTTGCCTCTTGAGAATTGCTTGAGCCTTCTTCTCAAGCTTGGTAGGACACCTCGAGACAAAGTGTCCCATATCTTCACACTTGAAGCACTTGATGTGAGCATACACCTTCTTCTCATCTTGAGTCTTGCTCATCATCTTGGTATCTTGATCAAGCATTGGATGCCTTGCTCTTCCACCCCTTGTTTTCTTCTTCTTGATCATCAAGTCACCCCCATCTTCATGGTTGATCATGATTTTCTCTTGGGGTTTCTTTTCTTGCTCATCTTGTGGCTTTGATTGAGGCTCAACTTGTTGCTCCACCACTTGCTTGGTTGGGCACATAGAGGTGAGGTGACCCCATGTGCGGCACTTGAAGCACTTGACATGCTTGAGCCTCTCTTCTTCTTTCTTCAACTTGAGCTTCTCTATGTTTGGGCATTGATCATGAAGATGACCCACTTCATGGCATCAGTAGCACATGAAATGAGAGAGCTTCTCTCGTGCTTCCTTCTTCATCTTCTTTTCTTCTTTTCTTTCGCCCTTTGTCATCTTCTTGTTGAAGCCAAGGCCACACTTGTCACCATAGTTTCTTTGAGTCTTCAACATGTGCTCAAAGGTGACTTTTGAGTTGTAACACCTCTCTAACTTGTTGCTTAATTTCTTCACTTCTCTTTTGAGCCCATTGTTCTCCTTCAAAAGGTTAGTCTCACAAGACCTAGAAGTAGAACAAGCATCTATATGTGAAGAACATGGCATATCTAATAAATCATTACAAGAGGTAGATACATGCTTCTTGCCTACATCACACAGGTTAGCAATATTATGTGATTGATCATTTGACCCATGTGATAAGCTCTTATTATTTTTATTTTTCTTAGAAAGCACTTTAATGAGAGAAGCATGTTGTTCTAATAATTCTTCATGAGACACAAGAAGCTTCTCATGAATCAATTTTAGCTCATTATGTGAAGATTTAAGATCATCAAGTAAGTGCTTATGTTCTTCACATGAATTCTTTAGAAATGAGTTTTCATTTTCTAATTTCATTGTTTTAGCTTTCTTATTTTCTAAAGACATGGTCATGCTAACAAGTCTACTAACAAGCTTATCATATGAATCAACATTATCAACCACATTAGCATTAGATACCTTGGTGTCACCTTGTGACATGAAGTAATGTGGTGTAGTGGATGGGCTTGTAGTAGCATCACAATTATGGCCCGAGCATGAACCATCTTCATCACCAAGTGTGCTTGAGGTAGAGTCATCATTTGCATCACTTGGGAAATCACCATCCATCATGTCAAGTGAACTTGTGGTAGATCGATCGTCATCATCATCACTTGACCATGAGGTGGAGCAATCTTCCACAATCACCAAATTATGGTCATACTCAACATCCACATGCTCCTCCTTCGTGGTGGCCTCATCATCATCATTGGAGACACTCCCATATATCAAGTTGAGGTACAACCAAATATCATGGGCGGTCTTCATGTACATGATCTCCCCAAATATCTTGTCACTCATAGATTGATAGAAAATATTAGTAGCTTGGCAATCGAGATGTAGGCATTTCTTTTGCTCTTGAGTTACATTCTTTTCATCCAATGCATGAGAAAAGCCCACATCTACGATCCACTATATTTGAGGGGAAATGTACTTAAAATTGCATGTCATCCAATCTTTCTACCGTGCAAAGTGTGTGCCATCAAAAGTGTATGGACACTCAACATCTAGCCCATAAGCCGTCATCATCTCGGGTCGGTGAAGACCACAAATGAGAGACCTAGCTCTGATACCACATGTAGGGTCGAGATGGCGGACTAGAGGGGGGGTGAATAGTCCTTTCTAAAAATAATCACATCGGCTAACCAAAACAAATGCAAAATTAAAACTAACGGTCTAGCCAAGACTATACCCCTCTAAGTTCACAAGCACCTTATAAAGATCCTAATTAGGCAACAAAGGTGCAAGGCTAGCTAGAGCTCACATAATCAATTCTAGGAGCAAGGTCATACAAACCTATGCCACTAATACTTCAAGCAACGGGGGAGCTCCTACACATGCTAGTAAGCAAAAGCACAAAGCCACCTAAACTCACTAGCAATGCTCAATAACAAGGCTACACAAGCCAAATTATAGAGCACAAATTACCTAGCTACATAAACTAAGAAATGTGACTAACAAGGTTACTCAAACCAAATTAGTCACGCAAGGGAGCTACTTCTATGCTACACAAGCAAGAAGATAACTAGTAAGCTACACAAGCTAACTAATTACAAGAGCAACTACATAAGCACAATATATATGAAAGTAAATACAAGCTTGTGTACGAGGATTGCAAACCAACGGGAAGAACAAGGTTGACACAGTGATTTTTCTCCCGAGGTTCACGTGCTTGGCAACACGCTAGTCCCCGTTGTGTAGACCGCTCACTTTGTGGTTCGGCGGCTAATTGGCATCACCCGCCAAGCCCACACGTTGGGCACCGCAAGAACCTATCCATAAGTGAGAGTAGCTCAATGACACGCTCTATTAGTGTTGCTCTTCGTGGCTCCCGTGGGGTGAGCACGGTACCCCTCACAATCACTTCTCCAGAGTACCACACAATCTTCTTTGCGTGCTTCGACGGAGACCACCACCAAGCTGTCTAGGAGGTGGCAACCTCCAAGAGTAACAAGCACCACCGGCTTGCAACTCGATCACCTAGTGCCACTCGATGCAACCTCATGATGCAATCGCACTAAAATCGAACTCACACTCAATCGGATGATCACTATCAACCGTATGTGAGTTAGAGGGCTCCCAAGCACACCTACACAAGCCACCAATGCTTAAGGGTGCTCAGCAACCAGTCCAAGGCCGAGCTCCACCTCTATTTATAGCCCCCAAGCCAAATAGAGCTGTTGGAGCAAAGTTGCTGGTTTCTGCGAGGGCACTGGACACGGCGGTGCCCCTCCCAATGGTCAAATTGGTCATCGGATAGGGTGGCGGTGGCACCGCCCTAGGGGTGGCGGTGACCACCTAGGCCAACCCCTTGGTTTCTCGCCTCTCTAGGAAAAAGTGGCGGCGCACCGCCGTCACCATGGCGGTGACCACCCCGGCTCAAACTTGAACTCGCCAGCCTCGGGTAAAAAGTGGCGGTGCCCCCGGATAGGGCATGGTGGTGCACCGCCCCTGGCACAGCGGTGACCAAGTCACCCACGCCCGCACAAGACAGCCTTCTGCTGGACACCAGACACAAGGGGGCAGTGCCACCGCCAAGGCAGGGCAGTGACACCCCCTTCACAACTGCTCTTGCCCGAGGCCAGGCGATGCCCCTAGGGCAGCACCCCGAGTCCAGTTTTGCCTCCTTTCTTCACCTTTTGACTTCTCATTTGCAAATGTGCTAACACCACCAAGTGTTCACCACCTTGTGCATGTGTGTTATCTTTTCACAAACATTTTTCCAATGGATTAGCACTCTTTTCACCACGCCACTCGATCCTAACACGTATGTAAAGTTAGATCGCTCAAGTGGCACTAGATGACCGATATGCAAACAAGTTTACCCATCTTGATAGTACGACCATCTATCATAAATCTGATCATAAACTTCTCTACACATATGATCGGTGAAATGAAATTCCCTATAGGTTATACCTTTGCTCTGCGCATTCCATTCCATCTCCTCCATTGTTGATGCAACACATGCATCAACCAATCACAAATGATATGATCCACTTCATATCATCACGTGACCGCCGTATTGATTCATCGATCTTGACTTTACTTTCTCTTCACCGTTGCTTCGGTCCATCGGTGCCAAAGTCATCACTCAACTTACCCTTCACATTTGCAACCAGTCCATCAAGCCAAGTCTTGTCTTGATCTTCTCCACCTTAGTCACATGACTCCATGTCATGTCTCATATGCAATGAGCTCCTTCATCATCACATGTGTGAGCCTTGCAACAAATCAAAGCCATCTTCACCGTCATGGCATGAGTTGCTCACACAAGTGTACCTGTGGACTAAACACCTGTGTATCTCCCAATTAAACACATTAGTCCACCTAGGTTGTCACTCAATTACCAAAACCAATCTAGGGACATTTCACTCTCTGAACATATCTCTGAAACATGAAACACTTAAATGTAACATACGTCTAAAGTAGATGAAATATTTGGAACATACACTTGCAACATATATGTGAAACATGTGCAACATCCAGATAAAACACTTGCAACCTGTAACATGAAAACACTTATTGCGACATAAGACTGAAACAACTGAAATATTTTGAACATACTCTTGCAACATATGTGTGAAACATATGCAACCTCCAGATAAAAACGCTTACAACATACATCTAAACAGATGAAATATTTTGAACAAACGCTTATAACATGCCTCTGGAAAACTTTTCAACATGCCTCTGGAACACTTTGCAACATACTCCATCCGTTCCAAATTATAAGTCGCTTTGACTTTTTTGGTACGTCTATTTTGCTATGTAACTAGATGTAATATATGTCTAGATACATAGCAAATTCTATGTATCAAAAAAGTCAAAGCGACTTATAATTTGGAACGGAGGGAGTATGCAACATCTCGATCTAGTTTTGTAACATCCATATGAAACACTTTCAACATTACCTCTGGAACATCTGAAACACTTGAAATATACGCTTGCAACATGTCAAGTGCGACACTCTAGTGGGAGGTGGCCACCATGTTAGGCGTGTTGAGGAACTTGATAACCGCCTCGATGGGCAGATCGGGGCTGGGAGGTGGCAGAGCGAAGCGCACCACGGGCTTGGTTGTCGCGAGCTTCTGCCGCTGGGGGCACCCTGGCGCGTGGAGCCTCGATGCGAGCTCGAAGTACGGCATGGCCTCAATGCTCTCGCGGTCTCCAGCCGTAGGAGGAGGCAACGAGGAGGATGTCGGCATCGGCTCCGGCAATGAGAGCAGGGGTGGGCGGCGGGCGCGACTCCAGCAGCGCAAGCCTAGTGTCGTGGAGGCGAGCGAGGGCCCCGGGACGAAGGAAGCTGAGGTGGTTGCCGCCGAAGAAGGCGAGTGGCGGGCGAGTGGTAGGGAATGCTGCGATGATGGTGCTAGTTGGAAATGCTGCCGTCTTTTTTTTTTATTTTAAGAAACGGTGAAAGAACGAAGGTTAAGGAAAACATGCCTATTGGGCTGGTAGTGCGCGCACCCAGGAAGCGCGATGTCCGGATGGTTGGACTCCCCGCACCGTAGCATTTCCAATTTTTATTTGGCTACTAAGGCTGCGTAGCTTGGGGCAACTTTTATACTTCGCTTGCCACTAACAAATAAATACCCTTATTTTTTCTCTTAATTGAGTAACAGTGTTTTTGTTTTTTTCCCCAAAAACAGGTACATTTACAATTTACGATTTTTTCATAGTGAATTTCACACAAAATTATTTGGTATTTATTTATTTTATATGCTTTTGGTGTACTTCATTTTAATCTGTTCTGTTGATATTCAGACTAGATCGAGTAAAGCACACACATAAAGTAAATATCTATCCGCGATATAAATTACTTATAACACGTAAAAATTCATTCATAACTATATTTTTGTACTCCTACTCCGACAGTCCTACTCATACGCATATCCACCGGTCGAATATAATAACCACAGATGCCTGTATCCGCGGATTGAATCAAATCATCTTAACCCAACGAAGAAACCGGTTTCAGCGTCTCATCCCTTCATTAGTCATCATCAGGCGTCGAGCCCTCGACGGCCTGCCTACACGTAGAACCGGCGTGCCGCCAAACAGATGCCATCCGTGACCTCCTCGGGAGTCGACACGCAGCCGGCAGCACAGCAGACGCACTCTCTCCCCCAACAACCCAGTGCCACTCCAATAAAGTGCCGCCTGCTCTCTACCTCTCTCTCCCAGCTCGCCTCAGCTCTGTTCTGCTCCCGTCACAGCAGTACAGCACACCCCAGAGGCAGCGAGTCCTGTTCGGCGGCGGGAAGGCCATGGGCGGGGCTACCTCTCCTCCGCCATGGAGGCGTCTCTGCCTCTGCCGCGCCCTCCACTTCCTCCTTCTCTTGCTCTGGTCAGTACGCACTTCTTGCCAGTTCTTGTGGTTCTACTTTATATACTTTGGATGGATTTTTTTTTCTGTTTGGTTGCAGCGATGACTCAGGTTAGTTCCCGAACTAGGTGCCACTACTTTCGCTTCAGCAATTCAGTTACTTCATTGATTCGTTGGAGTTGTGCTATTTTGCATCTTATTACTACCAAGACTGTAATACTGAGTTGTTATTTTAGGCTAAATGCTTGAAGTCTCTAGACCAATGAATTGTTTCAGGAAATTTTGAGAGACATTTCCCAATCACTGAGTAGCCTGATTTCTATGAGAATATGAATATAATGCTCCGTGTTGAGCCTCGTGTGCCTGCTTTACAGTACATGGTTGGATCTCAAGCAATAAAGACAAAACTAATTCCACCCTACAATAACAACTTAGATCATTCCTGATTCTTACCATATTATACTCTAATATCCCTCATAATTGTAGAGTGAACAACGCCGGCACTCGGACTGGAGTAGAAACCGACGAGTTTGCTCAAGTAGATGATAACCCTTTTGCTAGCCAAATTGATGCGTCATGGACATTGCTGTGTAGTTTTAGGCCCAATGCACCAACACGAGCACACATGTGCATAAAATCAGCTTGATGAATATACATACATTGGTGTGTGTCTAACACTATTTTTTTTCTAACTTAATCTCAATCAAGCATTTGTGAATATGACGCAGTGCTACTGTCAAAGTAGAAAAAAAAACTACAGTTAGGTTCTGTATAATGAAGAAATTTACTTACAGAGCTTCATGATTTGATCTACTGTAACCAAAACTAAAGAAAAATGACTATTACTTGATTTATTCAGTATATGTAAATTTCAGGGGTACTTCGAGGCAAACGAAGAACATGCTGTGTTACCTCCAAGAGGTGGAACTCATATGATTCTTTTTCATGGACTGTAGACGAAAATGCATACCTGCAAAATGCACAGATCATGGCAGAGAAGTTACTCCCACATGGATATCAGGTTATTCCCCTAACTCTTTAATTTGGTTATAGATAAGAGCATAAGAAATGCGAGTGAGTAAAATCCTGACGACTTGTTTAACTTTTAGTATGCAGTTATTGATTTCCTCTGGTACCGGAAATATGTTGAAGGTTCATACACAGATTCATATGGATTTGACAACATTGATGAATGGGGTCGACCTTTTCCGGACCTTCAAAGATTTCCATCATCTAGAGTCGATAGAGGGTTCAGTCAAATTGCCAGTAAGGTTCATGGAATGGGCTTGAAATTTGGCATCCATTTGATGAAAGGGATAAGTGTGCAGGCTGTTGATGCAAACACGCCTATCTTGGACATTAAGACGGTACAGTTCTTCCTTTTAATATGCTACTACATGACAATTAGTAGTGTTCGAAATTAGCATTTTACTTTGGAAAGTTTTGTCATGTTCATTCTGTCAGGGTTGTCCAACTCTGCTATTAATCCTTGTTAACATCATGTTGTATACCCAAAAACCAATAACCACTGTTAAAGTTAACTTGTATACACGCGAACCATTCTTAATTCTTTTTTGAATATCGATATGAAAGATGATTTTAATTTTAAAACTTATTTTTTACAGGATTACCTTATGTGTTGGATAAATTGTGTCTCAAACATTATCCTTTCTCGAGTTTTTTTTGAAACATTGCAAAATGTTGGATAAACTGTATCTTTGCTCATCGGAATGCTGGTTCCCCTGGGCACCAACAAATTTCTGATTTACTTATCTGCTCCATTATTCCTTAATGTTGTGTGAAATGTTCTTTCCCATAGTATTTTTTAATTTTCTACATGATATTCCTGTGGTTTCATATTATCTGATGTTTTGAACAACTTAGCCACTGTGCTTTCTAGATTCTTGAGTGTGTGGGTGTGTGTGTTGTAAGGGTTATTACCCCTTGTTTCTTCTTAATACAAATATGCACAGCTCTCCTGCATGTTTGACAAAAAAAAAAAAAACTCTGTTTTTTTTACTGTGAAATTTGAGCTTCTATCTACAATTGAACAAGTGACTCTTGGAAACAGGACATCACACTTAGCCAATACTGAAATGCATATAGAAGTTGCTGTACTCTAGTTTACAGCTCTTAGAATGGTCTCTTGTGATTCCTTTCAGGGAAAACCGTATCTAGAGGATGGCCGTCAGTGGACAGCACGAGACATAGGTCTCAGTCACAGAACTTGTGCATGGATGACGCATGGATTTATGAGTGTTAATACGGATATTGGAGCTGGACGGGCCTTCTTAAGATCTCTTTATCGACAGTATGCTGATTGGGGTGCTGATTTTGGTATGCTTATTCTTTAGGTGCATGGTTCTGTGGATAGCATACAGATATCTGAATATCTCAACTCTTTAGTTGAACCTTTCCCTCTGCTGCCAAAACTGAGGATTGAATAAATTCTTCCATATTGACCATTCTGTTTTGTTTGCAGTAAAGGTTGATTGTATCTTCGGCACAGATTATAGCCCAGAAGAAATCATCACTATTTCAGAGGTATAACTCCCTATCCTATAATTAATTACACTAGTTCATTGAAATCGGTGCACTTCTGGAATCAGCTAATACCTATATTGCAGCTATTGCAAGAAATTGATCGTCCGATCATCCTGTCAATCTCACCAGGAACTTCAGTTACTACAGCATTAGCTGAGAATATTAGTGATCATGTTAACATGTATAGGATAACTGGAGATGATTGGGACAACTGGAAGGATGTGAGCTCACATTTTGGTGTGTCAAGGTAAATTGAACATATATTTTCTTCTTCTGTTTCATTGCATATATACTCATTAGTTTTCATACCTTGTATATGTATGTTGTCTAGTAAATAAAAACTTATTTCTTACTTTTATTTTCCTTTGCATATTGTATGCAGTTCCTTTGCTGCTGCTAGGAAGATTGGTGCCACTGGGTTGCGAGGAAGATCTTGGCCAGACTTAGACATGCTTCCATTTGGATGGCTTACTGATCCAAGTATGATTTAATTCTCGTTAAGAAATAAAATTAATCTTGATTGTTGTCTGGCTCTAATGACTTTTAACAATGAAGCAAATTCACAATATTCAGGAGAAAATGAATCATAATTTTCTATTAAATGCATGTTAGTAAATTTTGTATCAGTAAACAGAGTAAATTTAGAAGACAAACTAACAAACAATATGAATGCATTCCATCGTTCAAATATATTCTTTGTGGCAATGGAAGTTCCATTGAGGCACTGTGGACAATGTCTGTCCCAGCTTGGTACTTTTTAATAATTGGGGTTGGTGTATGAAATATCTGAAATCTGCATAGGAAATGTGGAAAATCTACACTTTTATGGCATTAATTATTCTCTTTTATAAGTATTAATTTATTTTAGCCTAAAAGAGAGAAACTGGCCTAGCTCAGTTGGTAGCAGGTGTGAGTGTATTAATTTATTCAACCACATTTAACTCTTCAATTTGTTTAACTACATTTAACTCATCTTCTTGAAAGTTTTCTTGAATTGTTTGAGTACATGTCTTATCTCTGTTTTTCTTTTAATTCCCTTATTCTTTTTCCAAGAATATCTTGAATGAAATAATATACATGCAGCTGTATGAGAAACAGGCCCTTTTTCTTCTGTTAATGCAGGTGTAAATCAGGGCCCTCACAGGAAATGTAACCTTACTCTTGATGAACAGAAAGCACAGGTTGTTGTTGGTGATCACTTCAAATTTAAGTGTTCTGTATCTATTTTTGTGTAGTAATGAACTCTTTTTTCTTTGACATGACCTTACAGATGGCACTTTGGTCAATGGCTAAATCACCTCTCATGTATGGAGGAGATTTAAGGAATCTTGACGATAGTACATTAAACATAATTACCAATCCTGCTTTGTTGAAGATAAACCACTATAGTAGAAATAACATGGAGGTACCTGCATTGGAGGCTTCCTATTAGAATGGTGTCTGCTTTGTAAGCACAAATGAATTGTAAACTGACCTGTCGATATTTTCAGTTCCATTATGTGTACAGTAAAAGGACTTCAAATGAAGAACATTCTGGTCACTTTAGGTCTCATCCTGTTCACCTTACCAAGAATGATGGCATGTTTGTCAGTCTCACTGCTTGCAACAACGATGCAGCTAACGGATGGTATATGTTTCCACAAGATGGGAAACCAGATCATATATGCAGGAACTATGAAATACTGAATGATAAAAATGTCTCATTTTGCCTGGGAAAAACAAAACGTCTTCTTGCACCGTAAGATCCACCCTATTCATAAACAGAGAAGTGTTCACTCAATAATTCTTATTAATACATTTTATACATTGTAGGGATGTCATTATCATGGACAACAAGGAACACCAATCAAAGTTTCATATTTCAGTTACAAACACTGATGATACTTGTTTGGATGCATCTGCTGGTCGAAGGCAGACTGCCTCAGAGATCAGGTTTCCTATGTTCTCTGCATGCAGGTGGCATGCAAAACAGGTAAGATCTCTGTTGTCAGTAGTGTTAAAAAAGGCGACGCCTTAGGCGCGCCTAGGCGCGACTAGTTGCTAGTCGATGGGTTCCCGCCTGGCCTATGGGGGTAGGCGGACATCCAGGCGCAAGGAGGTAGGTCGCCGGTGGGGAAGGAGGAGCTGAGAGCGGGCGGCGGGATGCGGCGCGGGCGCTTGGCAAGGCATGCAAAGTGGGCGGCGAGCAGGGGGGGTCCTACTGGCCTAGGGGGTAGGCGGACCCTTAGGCGGCGCCAGCTCGTCGGCGGCGCCGGTGGGGGAGGAGGAGCTTCTGGCGGAGGTCGCCGGTAGAGGAGGAGGAGCTGCGGGGCGGGGGCGGGCGCGTGCGCGGGCGGGGGCGGGCACGCACTAGAGGAGAGAGAGATGCCGGAGAGGGAGAGGAATCGGAGGCGGCGGCTGATGCGGGCTACTGTAACAGGAGGAAGCGGCGTCGAGCGAGAGGATGCGGGAGACCAAGCAGAAGGATAAGGTTGGAGACACAGGTGGGAGATGGGCTGGACTGTTGCCATTTGGGCCTTTCTATCTCTCTAAGCCAGCCTTTCAATCTATCTAAACCCACTATTTCAGCTGTTTATTTTTTCTTTTAGAAGATAATATATGTATATTAGTATATATACAAAACGTCTAGAAAAACGCCTTAAAACGCCTAGGCTCGCTTAAGCTCACCTAGGCTCTAGGCTATGGGTCATCGCCTAGAAATCGCCTAGCGCCTAGCTGAACTTTGGTTGTCACCACCACCTTCACAACCTTTTCAACAGAGAAGATTCCATGAAGTGTTGCTTACTGCACACAAAACCTAACACATTACTACCCAAAAGCTTCCTCATGCCTCAAACATTGAATAGGGGCGAGCAACAATTATTGTTTATTCAATTGTGCTAGGCAGGATTCGAACTCGAGACCTCTGGTTTCGAACTCGAGACCTCTGGTTTCGGCCAGTTCAACCCAAAAGCTTAAGCTATTAGGGAAAGACGGGCAATTCACTTTATTTCAACTAGTAATTATCCTGTTTGGCAACTGAACTTATGGCATTTGTTACACATGAATGATGAACGCAGATGTGGGAGTTAAATTCGAATGGAAATCTTGTGAGCAGCTATTCAGGATTATGTGCCACAGTGGAATCAAGGGACGAAGGAGGTATATATTACATAACTTTGTTTGTTTTGAATTAATTGGCATCACTACAGTTCCTATGAAATATAGGTACTAGTGGAGGTCGTGCATGGGTTGCAACTGGAAGTAAAGGTTAGTTATCTTACAGGGCATCCTGTGAATTGGTTTACTCCTGTGAGAAGTCTACATATATGTCGATTAGTAACATACACAACTCTTTGAATTGGCTCTGCGATATATGAAAACTTGCAACCAGAATTACAATATTTCCATGTGGTACATGTGCTTCTTCTGTGTTAACAAAAGGTCTTCTTTTTTTTGTGAGGATAACAAAAGGTCTTATTTTGGTAGACTATGATATTCTTAGAATGACCACATGACACACAAATCACACCAAGGCTGCAGATAGAGATATTACAAGAGTGGATAATAGAGACCCCTTTTTTTTTTAGAATTGGATAATAGAGACCTTAAGAGGTTGCCTGGAAACCATATTTTATTTTTTTAAACAGAGAACGCAGAAACTGATTTTCATAGTTTGAACTGTAAGGGGAGAAGTCCGACTATAGTCTCTATGTGCCTACCTCTAGAGGTAGTTCTTCCCCTCAACTATGGCTGAATTCCAACTCACCAATTCTGTTAAGTCCAAAGTTTCAACCTTAGACACATGACCAGTAGACCACCATGGCTATTTCCCGCATTTCTTCTTTTTACAAATATGCATGAATGTAAGGGTTACGATCAACTATTAACCCTTTTCTAGGCAGACAAACCTTTGAGGGCCTGGATGATATGGGAACAGAACCTTTTTGCACATATTAGACTTGATGTGGATAAGCTTTTGTGCTTTATTATTTTCATCACAAGGAATATACTACTTTACTGATAGTTTTCCTAACTCCTTTTCATATTTTGTACATACATAAGCCTAAAATATCTACATAACTTTAATAAAGATTTAGCAGTCTGATATATTTTGTATTCCCTATCGAGATAGTTTCAGCTTCAAATGATGACCATTTCATTTGTTTCTATTTTTGGGTAATGCATGAGAAAACATATTCTTTCTGAGCTATCTACCATGGTGCAGGAGAAATCTATCTCGCGTTCTTCAACCTCGACTCCGTGAGCAGGAAGATGACCGTACAAATATCAGATCTTGGAAAGGTTCTCAAAAGAACTTTTTTGAAAGAACACCTATGTAGGTGCACTGAAGTTTGGAGTGGAAAGAATTTTGGCCCAGTGAAGGAAGAGATTTCAGCAGTTGTCAATTCGCATGGCTCCATGGTGTTTGAAATCATATGTTGAGATTGCAGTACTGGGCCAGTAGTTCGAGAAGTTTGCAGTGATAATTTGCTGTAAGCTGCATTCCGATTGGTCCTTTAGTTGTAGGCAGAGGTGGAATGGATACGTTGATAAACCATTAACTAGATTTGACTGAATGAATCGATGAATATCAAAAGAAACATGGGGAGAAAAAGATGTTGAACTGATCTGTATATTTTTGCTTGATGTCCTAATGGACTTGGCGACTTCTATTTAGTGGTACAAAGTTAAGCTATTCATGATTAACAGAAGAACATTCAACACAATTTGGAGGTTCAAATCACTATGACATGCTATTTGTTCAACCAGCAAAAGAACTGAATCATTTGCCTTTTAAATACTAGGAACAGAATTATCTGGTGATCCTAATTAACAGACAGATAAACATAGTACTACTGGGCTGGGATGGGACAGGACGAGCAGAATTCACACAAGCAGCAGCATCCCTGAATGTTGCGATTCTTTTTGTTATGTACGCCAGAGATGGAATGGATATGAAAACCTGAAGCTCGTAACAAAACAAATGCAAGCATGGCACCAGGCCAAGAACACAGAAAATTAAAAGCTACCGGCAACTAATTGAATTCACCGAGTCAAGGGGATAGAGATCACGCATGCAGCCAACGATATAACCCGCCAGTAAAACATTCCTAACGACCATCTTACAGAGATGCCTGCTACTTCGACATGCAAAGATCAGCTACCACTAGAACTACTTGAAAACCCTCTTCGTCTGCACTTCTTCACCGACACAAAACTGGGTGTCTATGGAGCAGCAGGAGAGGAATGCTGTAACCAGTCTTTTGCGCAGAACAGTGCCTCCAAGGTTTCAGGGTGCAGTGAGCTCTGGTAGTCGTCAAGCATCTTGGCTTCAGTGCCAGCTGCGAACACGGAGCTCCAACGACCAACCGTGGACATGGGTATGGCAAGGACATCTTGGGCCATCCTCGAGAGTGTTGGGTACCTGACGGCATTAAGCTTCCACCACTTCAGAATGTCAAACTCCAGCATGCGTGGGACCAGGGCTTCTTCCAAGTACTGATCTAGCTCTGACTTTGGGATCTGGCTCATGGCTACCTCTGAAAGGTAGATGTCGAAGCCGGACACTAGATTGCCAGTGGAAGTAGGATCTGTTGGAATGTTGTTCTTATCGTTAGGAAGAGCGCCAGTGACCTCTTGCTCAACATGGGCTGGCGTCAACGGAAGTGGCTGTCTAACATACTCGTTGTAGAGCTCATGTATATCATCATCCACCAACTTGACATACTTAGCGCCCTTCATCAGACCATAGATTTTGGAGTAACTGAACTCAACAATCTTCATCTTGAAACGGGGATCCATCACAACAGCAATGGCCAGCACAACATTGCAATCTTTCCAATACTTGTCAAACATCTCATGCATGCCTTTTGCGATTGCACTGGAAATAGAATCTTGATGATCTGTGGCATTTGAAATCTCTCTCTGAATTGTCCAAGCCTCATGGAAAAATATGTTGGCAGTTGGATCTTTTGTTGCCATAATGCTGTTTGCAGAGTCATACAACAGCTTCAGATACCTGCAAGCAACCTCGACTTTCTCCCAGTCCACTGCCGAAGGTGCTTGATTGTAGTTATCGTTACATTTCTCCAGCATGGTGAATGCCTGCTTATAATCCAGAGCTGCCAGCAGCATAAGATAGGTGGTGTTCCACTGGGCTTTAATGTCTAGACATAGGGTCTGATTACTAGGAATTTGCAGTTGCAAAATGATGTGAGCAAACATCTCCTCATGGCTAACACAAGATTTTATGAACTTTATACTTTCACGGATTTTGTAGATGACACTTTGAACCGAAGCAGTGACATCACTTGCAGCTGCATTCAGTATATGGGCATAGCACCTCACAACCAAAAATTGCCCCCGAAGCATCGGAATATTCTTTCTGGAGAGTTCCTCTCTCAAATTCAAACTGTAGATACCATGTGAGGAGGAATCATAATATCCAGTAACGGTGAAGAGTTTGTCAGTCATGTTCCACTGAGGAAGGCTTCTGCTGATAGCTTCAGAAACTGCATTCTCTGAACAACCAGGCCAAGGGACCATCACAAAGTTGAGCATTCTTGGTGCAGCTTCCACTCAGAATCAATGAATTGCCCTGCAAGTGAAACATACCCAAGAGTTTGGCTAGTGGTCCAAGACTGTACTGTGAGATTTATCCTTCCAGGAATATTTCCAACTTGCTTCAGCACGCTCTCTCTTTCCTTCAGATAAACTGCACAAACCTCTGCTTCTATTGCATCTGTATTAACCACCTTGAAACTAGGCTGCAGGCCCTCAACAAAGGATATGAAGGTTGGCTGTTGAACAATTTGCAGAGGGTAGTCATGCAGAATGATCATCTTCGCCAGGTATGATTTACTGCGGTCTGGATTGAATCGAGCATTTGCATAACCAGTACATGTGTGGCGGCGCCTCTTAGAAGGCTTATCTACAGCACCCTGACAATCATTTTCTGTCCCACCAGCTCTAGGTTCTTGAACTTTAATCTCAGGGCAATGACCCTGGGTAACGTGCCTCTTCAGATGGCTAGTGCCAGACATTTTTGATCCAGAACTGTATGCGAATATTCCGTTACAATGCTTGCAGCACGCTCGTGTGCATCCCTCAGAATCTTCGGTAGTGAAATGCTCCCAGACCATGGACGTCTTTCTTCGGCGTTTTGATGAGGTTGGTGGTTTCACCCCAGTGGTAACATTGCCACTAGCTATCTCACTACCTTGAACCGTCTGATTACAATGGAGGACTGTCTGGTCATACGGGACCATCTCACCACCAGGATCCACCTTGCTACCACCAGGGACAATCTCGTTGCTGTGAACCATCTTGCTATCATGGATGTCGATCATCTTGTAATCAAGGATCATTTCGGCTTCATGACCCATCTTGTCACTGATAATCGCCTCACAGCCATAAACCATCTCATTGCCACCAAGGAAAATCTCGCAGTCTTCGAACACCGTCTCAGTGCCATGCACCATGGAAGATTCATTGATGTTTGGATCACCCATGCTTTGCTGAGAATAATAGCTAAAATGGTTGGAAGAAATACAATCATGTCAGAGATAATGTAGTCAAACCAGAACACAGACACGGGTTGAAGAGCTACAAGTAAAATGCAATATATCTATCTAGTGAAACCGTCACAGATATTTGCACAATAAGTTGAATATATACATTCAGCATTATATATTTACCACTATTACGGATGACATCTACACAGTGTCACCGACACATGAGTCAACGACATGGTATTTCTTATACCACTCACATCGTAATGATGGTAAATATGTAAATATTCTTACATATTTACATCACGTTTTTCCATGAGAGAATCAGTATCACAGCACTTAGTCGTTGTATGAAATAACAATGGTTCCAGAAAGTGGATCCAAATCACAAATTCATGTTTGTAAGCTAGCTATTAAAATATGACAGACTTTCTAGTCGGGAAGCAGTGTACTTGTCAACAAAAGAGGACGATGCAGGAAAGCATATCCCATCCCATATACTGTCCATCGCTTCTATGCCAAGCACATCTGACATTATTTAGTTAGTGTCCATCGCTTCTATGCCAAGCACATATGACGTTATTTAGTTGTTGAGTATACACAGAGCATTCAGAGTAAGAACTCTAACCATGGGCCGTGACAATAACAACTCACACTTGTTGAACACACAGAGCAACCAGATTAGATAGTATGGGATGGAAATTCTGGCAGTAAGTTTACACGAAACAGATTAAAGGAAGATCAGAAAACACCATATTAAAAATTATTGCATTTTTTTTGGTTCGAGAACAAATTGCATCCTGTTTCACCTGACGATGTTCTCCGACCACATGGCGTTGGTTATAGCAGGCGCAAAACATAAACTGGAAACCGATCGAAACTAAACCTCAGGCTCGAGCGAGCTACGACGATCATCGAGCAGCTTCCTTCCTACCACGGCAAGCACGCACACCCTACGGACACATACAGCGATTCGGTCCAGCAGGTACCAACCAACCAATGCAATCATCAAGCACAGAAAAACCCCACCCAACTCACACCATCGACGATCGATCTACCCGCCCTCCATACAGTTTAAGGCCCAATCCAAGCCAGTGATCACAGCAAACACCCCAGCAGACCCAGCAATCAATCCGCGCGGAGGGAGGAACACACGAGGCGGGGAGGGAGGGAGAGGGCTTGCAGTTGGGTGCGGTGGGTGGGATGGATACCTTGCAGTGGAAGATGGACGGGGACGAGGAGGTCCAGGAAACCAATCGGCTCGGCGCGGCGGGTGGCTACTACTGGATCGGATCGCGGCTCGCCTCGGCCCAGCAAGGAACAAACCCTAGATCCTGTTCGTCCTTGAGTCCGTGGGCAGAGGAACGCGGGGGGCGCGGAGGCTTTTATGGGCTCGTTCTGTGTCCCAGCCCATAACGCGTGGTTCGCTCCACTTCCCGCTGACAGGTGGGCTTCCGGACCCGTTCTGGGTTTTGGAAACCTATTTTCCTTTTGTTTCCGTATATATCCTTTCCGGTAGGGCTTAGTAGCTTTTTTGCCTTTTTATGTGGGGCTAACCGGCTAAGCCCAGACTGTCCATAAATAAAAGCCCCTCTGCCATGTCGTACAAGTTATTTTATTAAAATTATTTTATAGCTATCCATCTTAAATTATAGTTCATTTTTTACTTTTTAGGTATATAGATTTACTATATATTATTTGAATATACGACTTGCCTAGATAAATGGTACTGTAGAGAAAATGATTATCCAAAATGGCCCACAATTTAGAACGGACAAATATGAGAAATACATGAATTTCAAAACGACTCATAATTTAGAACTGGTGTACTTACAATTTCTAGGGATAAATGGGGCTACAAGTATATATTTCTCTCATGCATTCTGGAGATAATTATAAGTCATCGTGGATTTTTGGGTACATAGGTACTATTTATCTCTCTATAAATAAATAAATAGAAGGTTTTTCCTGCTGTAGGTCCTAAATTACAAATAGGATTACAAGTATCCAAACTCACTTCTAATTTAGAACTGATGGCCTTAAACTAAGATCATCTTTTGTTCTAAATTCATTTATTTCTCCTATTTTCACAGCACATATGTTCTCTCCCAACAGTTTCTTTATCTCAAATAATATATAGTGTGAAAACATATCACACCAAATCCGAAGGAGATGGAGAAGGACTTGGGATATAACTGTAATACCCCGAGAATGAATGACATAAATATGAATTTTAATATGGATCAAGTGCTGTTAACCGAAGGTTGATCGGATTTAAGGAGAGAGCAACAATTTGACTTGTTGATCCGTTGCTCGGATGGATTAATGAAAACATTTCGTTTGACTGCTTAATCGTATTAATCAGACTTTGATGGTGGACTTATGTTTATTCTTAGTTTTAAGAAGAAAAATATAATAAAATGATAGAAAACCCCCATACCTGTTAGGGACTAGGAGACTTGCGTTTTCTTTCTCGGGACGTCTAGCGCCTGGACGTCCGGTGCCAGCAGCGTGTCCGAACGCCCCGCGCCTGCTGCCCCCGTCTCCACAGGACGTGATGCTACTGCCCCGCGCCTGCTGCCCACTATTATAATTTGCTAGATTGATGCGCCCACGCCTGCGACTTTCCCGTGCCTCTGCCATTGGGTCCTGATTTGACCATGCACGCTTGTGGGGGGGGGGGATTATTGCGCCCGCTGCCATCAGGAGCAGCAGCGACGGGCCACGCTTGGCCGCGTACTCCTGTTGTCAGCATGTTGCTGCTGGCGCGTGATGCTGCTGCTGATTGGCCGCATCAATCTGGAATAAGGAGAGAGAGAGAGAGTAGTTGAGCATGGATGCAGTTTCGTGTTCCACGCCTGCTGCCACACCCATACATCTTTGTGCTCCACGCCTGCTGTCGCACCCGCTTGGCTTCCTGCGCGCACGCAGGGACCGCTGCGCCCGAGAGGACCACTTCTGCCTACGCTCCTAGTCGCACGTGTTGATGAAACACTTGCAATGTAAAGTATTTGCTGCAACATACATATGAAATAGATGAAATATTTACAACATACGCTTGCAACATATGTGTATGGGCACTGCAACATATGCAACATCTAGATAAAACACTTGCAACATACATCTGAAACAGGTGAAATATTTGGAACATACACTTGCAACATATGTGTGAAAACATATGCAACATCCAGATAGAACACTTGCAACTTAAAACATGAAAACAATTGCTGCAACAGAAGACTAAAATAGATGAAACATTTTGGAACATACTGTTGCAACATATGTGTGAAAACATATGCAACATCCAGATCAAAACGCTTACAACTGTTGGCGTAAAAATGTGGCGATGCAATTAACACACAGCAAGCCAGACGATCTGAACGGAATGAGATTGAAGATCTACTTGGCTTCAACACAGGATCAGTTGATTCTGAAAACCCAACGGCGTGCCAGTCAATTTGACCTGCAATTAACAAGTAGAGAAAATCTTATCAGTAGTTTAAGACGGAATATGTCGGTGTTGCTCTAGACAGTTTCAAATATGTGACTAAACATCCGATTCGATAGGGCTATCGACTAAATAGTCGATATCCAACATATCAGTAAAGCAAGGATCGTTGAAATTGAAGATTATCTACTAATATCAATGATGATGGTATGAATTCAAAATAACCGATACTCATGGGTCATAGCGATTTTATTATGATTGATTAATCTGAGCGTAAAAGTACAATACACCCAAATATAAATAATATAAAGAAACATCATCACTAGATAGATATAACCGATTGTAAAGCATTGAGCCGATAAGTTTAACGAGAAAGGATATAACATGCGAATAAATCCCATTGTCTAGTACAAATAAATCTACAAACGCCTCGAATCTAATCATTACCATATCAACGGTGAGGTTCGATCGATCGATATAGCTATGATAATAATAATAAACTAAAGCCAAAGAATCTATAAAACCATCTATATATTGATAGGTTCATGAAAAACATGCTATATGTGTGAAAGCACAAAGAATCGACTAAAATATCGATGCATACATAGCAAACAAGCAGTACATATCTCAATCATGAATAAAACCACTAATCAATAATCTCTAATCCAAAGTCTTACCATTGAGGTTCGACCGGGTCAATGCAGCTATAGTTGTGTCATTAGATTAGATCTTATTAACTAGTGAACTTACTCAAGATTAGAACATGTCTTTGAATGCATACTATGTTTGATTCGAATAGAGATAAAATAGCTGATCTAACAGAATTAAGCCATCAATTATAAGATTTAAAGTATGATCAGACTAGAAGATGACCAACTAAGATGATGTGATACCGATTCTATCTCTATCTCAATCAGGTGATTTGTTATAATTAATAAAATATTAATTATAACAAGATCGATAACCGGTGAATCAACCAACAACAACAAGGAAAATCTTACTAATCTTGGCAGATTCGATAACTGGTGATATTGTATTAAATAACAAGTTATTTATTACAAGATCGATAACTTTGATTAATATTAGTATCTGCAAGAGATCAATCGGTTAATGCAGCCTTACAAATAATGATACAAATCGATAACTAACTTTTACTACAACTTGTAAGAGATCAATCAGCTGATGCAGCCTTACAAGTAATAATACAAGTTGTGACGGTACTCACAGACAAGCTAGAGGTCGATCTATCGATGCAGCCCTGCTTGTTGAAGAACTCGCCTAGATCTATAGGACTCCTACTCCTAAGGGTGGTGTGAAGCCGGAAAAGTAATTGTATTGATTGATTGTTCGTCTTGTACAATAATCGGGGTCTAATATTTATACCCGGAACCTAAACATGAATCCTACTGAAATACGACTCATTACAATTCTTGAAATAAAATAAAACATTCCTAATTTAAAATAACTTGGACCCTAATCTTTCCCTTTCTATAGAGTCCGATATATCTTTCCCCGTAGTCCATTGACGTCGTCTGCTGACGTTATCCAAAAAGAGCCGATTCTAGTACCGCATCTGAATCAGTTAATATCGATCTTTAAGCAACCGATTCCTTGATGACACAATCCTAGAAGCTTCGAGTCCCCACGCTCTCCTTCCAAAATTTTGGTGTAAACATATGCCCCCCAATTTTGGGATAAAATGATTTTATCCAAAATTTCATCCATCTGCTCACCGCGTTGCAACCACCTATTCCGAAACAAACGCGTGACTCCTGACTTTTTAGGCCAAACTCTATATAACATCCCAACAGTATCATCTTTAATCCACCCGGCCGATTTACTTCCCCCTTCTTCTTTGAACAGGCCCTATCAACCAAAGCTGCCACCACCAGAGCTCCAACTCTAGCAGTTTCTCCCTTCTGCTTGGGTTGCTTTTCAAGTCACTCCTCTGCAACCCTTTCTCAGATTTAGATCTATTCCAACTATAATGGTGACCAGCGACTACATCCCTTAGGTATGTCTCGAAATTTCTGCTTCTCAACTATCAGCTGCTGCTCTGTATTTCCTTTTCCTTAAGTTCATCTCATCTGACTTTCTAGGAAATGAAAAATGAAATTTTGATTCCTTCATCTATTATTTCGAATGCTTATTACCTTGGACCCATGGGATATATTAATCCTTTGGATTTTATCAATCAAAAAACCAATCAAATTCCCTTCAGACAGTCCTTGGTAGATTTATCTTCTTGGAACACCAAAATTGCCTTTAGGAATTGGCCCAAAATGCCCAAGAGATGGAGAGACTGGTTCCGAAGAGTGTCAGACAAAAGGGTGGAGATTGAGAAGTTTACGATTTAAGCCAATGCCTAACACTTTCACTATCCG